GCGGGTGGATTGCTGTGTCGATCCAGGCAGGGTGACCAGGGCCAGGTCCCCGTGCAGTGCAGATTACAGCTCCTTCATGGCTCACATTGTCTTGCTCCTCAGCTATGTTTGTGCTTGAGATGCCTGGTGGGCTGGGACGTGGTCAGAGACCCTGCGCACAGGCACGCACAGGGCTCCTGTCTCCCTCCCTCCCTCCCTGCCAAACCTCTCCTCACCCCCCCCTCTCCCAACGGCCTAGATGTGGAGCAGATGGCTATTGACTGGCTCACGGGCAACTTCTACTTCGTGGATGACATCGATGACAGGATCTTTGTCTGCAACAAGAACGGAGTCACCTGCGTCACGCTGCTGGACCTGGAGCTGTACAACCCCAAGGGGATAGCGCTGGACCCAGCTATGGGGTAGGAGTCCTGCTTGGGCGTGGGAGGGCTCAGCGTTGCTGCCTGGACCTGCACCATCAATTTGGGGGGTGGAGCAAGGCAGGAGGGCCCAGCTGCTGCAGTCAGGTGGGGCACCAGGGATGCTGCTGCAGAAGCAACTTGCCTGCCCGTGAGGGCCCTTCTGGGCTTTAGCAACGAGTGAATCCCAGCGTTTTCTCTCCCTCAGCTGGGACTGGGGCCACGTGCTGTAGCGTAGTCGTGGCAGCAGTGTTTTAAGCAGCCCGCTGGTACCAGTTGGTTTTGGAGGAGGTGAGGGTTTGGTCCTTGAGGGTGGGTCAGAGCAGCCCGAGCCTCTGCTGGTGCTGCACCGGGGACAGGCACTGGTGCAAGAGCAGAGCTGAACAGTGCAGCACTGGGGAACAGCAGCATCTGAACCTGGGTCTTCTAAGTGACGGTTCTCGGTGACAGTTGGCAAGCGCGTGGTCCTTCCCTGTGGGGCTGGTGGGGTGTCCTCTGCCTGCATGCCCGTGGCCAGAAGCCCCTCTCTCAGGGGAGCCTCCCACTCTGCCTGCCCTGGGCAGCAGTTTTGCCGGTGCTCGGTCCTGCAGGACAGACCCGGCCAGGCTCAGGACAAGCTGCTGCTTCCAGCTTGTGGCTGCATGGTTACAGCTTTGCATGGCTCTCAGGAACCGAAACAGTCAGATACTTGCATGGATTGGCAGCTCCCCTTGTGCCTATTTATACGGGGTGCTGTGGTCAGATGGCAGCTCTCTGCCTTTTGCAAAATCCCATGCGTGGGGAAGCTGGGATGCTGAGTCATCGGAGCAGCTCAGGGCACACGCGGCAGCTGCTGGACCCTGGGAGCGAGGAGCTGGCATGGCTGAGGCCATGGTGGGCAGAGCAGAGCAGAGCGCGAGGTGCCACCAGGCACTTTCTGTAAGCGCGGTCCGGCCGCAG